GGGAAACATGTTAGAAAAGAAGGTGCAACAGAAGTTTAAAAAAATAGGACTGGGTGGGGGTGGGGAGGAGTTCTCAGGAGAGGAAAGAAGGAGCCACCCCAAATGTGAGGGTGAAATTCTTCACACTTCAGCTGCAATTAGTGGGGAAGTATTGGAACCCAGAACAGCTAATAACCCTGGGACTTACAGGCATGTAACTTTATGTTTAGGATTGTTCACAACAGAACATTCAGTTTAAAAGTAGTTTAAACAAGATAGTTTAAACTACTAATATTAATAAATAATACTCATTTATTAGTCATGCAACAGAAGTTTGGGAGTTGGTAGTCAGGTGCTTGTGTGATGGTTCCACTGGTATCAGGACTCCAGACTCCTAATCTTTTGTTTCATTACTTTAGTTTGTGTCTTCCACTGTTTATTTCTTTACTTTTAACAAGATAGTTTTTACTGAACAAAACTTGCTCAGAAATGTGTGAGAGGAGAAGAATGAATAAATACATGTTCAAGAGAGAACAAGGGCTTTTCCAGAGTGGAAAAAACAAACAAACAAACAAGCAAAGAGACACAGACAAGCAAGCAAGGTGCACGTGCAAGGGAGAACAGAGACTTGAAGAGCAAGGTAGGGTCTCCATTTTTTGTTTGTTTTTGGGCCACACCCAGAGGTGCCCAAGACTTACTCCTGGCTTTGCATTCAGGAATTACTTCTGGCGGTGCTCAGGGAACCTATGGGATGCCAGAGATCCAACCTGCGTCAGCCACGTGCAAGGCAAACTCCCTGCCAGCTGTCCTATTGCTCTGGCTACTTCATTCTTAAGACATTGCTTCATGGCCCAGCATGATTGCAGAAGCTCCAATGATCATATCTGCCTCAGATATGTGGGAAGGAAAGACAGAAGGGTCAAAGAGCAGATGCCTTTCTTGAGTAATTTCCTTTTAAATTGTCTTTCTGGAAGTCAAATATATTTCACTTACCAAAGTTTAGTTACAAAGGCCATTTCTAGTTGCAGGATCCTTGAAAGTCTTTTAGCTGAGCATCAATGTTGCACTATAGAAAATCAGGGTCTTTTACGAATGGAGCAAAGGAAGAATGAGCAGTATGTGGCAATGTGCTGCCTTTTTTAGCATATAAAAATTCCTTATTATTTTCTTTTAAATCCCCAACATTCCATTCTGAGATCTCATTGCCAAAGTTCATTCTTGTTTTACTTTTCTTTGCCCTGGGTCTCACTTTTCTCATCAGAGAAAAAAAATTATACTATTAATCTAATTTAAAGAATTATAGTGAAAAAAAATAGGAAAACAGTTGACAGATCACATATCTGTTTTAAAAAATGACAAAACAACTGATAAATGGATCATAATGTATGTTTACCTAGAAGCAAAGCCCAAATCAGGAATCAGGAGCCTTAGGGGAGTATTTCTGCCTTCACTAAATGATCAGGGTTTTTTCCTCCTAGCATCTAAGCCTCTCTCAGGGACATAAATTAATCCCCTTTAGGTCACCTAGGGACTTTTAAGTGCTTAACCCTTGTCTAGGTTTAAAAAACGAATATGTATTGAAAGTAGGTGTCAGGCCTGCAATTTCACCTTAAGAAAATATATTTGCTCTTGAGATTTCATATCATTTGTTTAGTCTCCCTCAGTCCAAGTTTCTCCATAAAAAACATTCTAAAGAATTGGTATATAAGATTCAAACAATAATATGTTCATTCATTATTCAATAACTATTTATTAAGTAGCTGCTTAGTGTTTATAAACACAAAACGTAGGCATGGTAATGTGGACTGAGCGAGATAGTTTATTTTACATTAATTAAAATTATTTTTGGTTTTAAGTCACATCTGGCAGTGCTCAAGGTTTATTCCTGGCTCTGTGCTCAGAGATCACTCTTACCAGTGCTTGGATGATTATATGCAAAGACGGAGATCAAACCACCATCAGATGTGTACAAAGCAAGCACCTTAAACCTGTGCTCTCCAGCCTGGGATGGTTTATTTAATTTATTTTATTTAAACGTGGGATGGTTATAAAAATTCACTTGAGCTCAGGCATGAGTATGAGACAACTGCATAATTTATAATGACTATTTAGCTTATAGAAGTTTCTAAAAAGTTTCATTTCTATATGAAAATTTTATCTCTCCCACTATATAAATGAAGAAATAATTTTTATCTAACTCAAATAACAACAAAAAACCCCTGCTGTTGCTAAGAGCAGCTGCAGGAATAAGAAAGATTAGACAGACTGCATTATTAGATTTATTTTAAAATCCCAACAGGTCCCAATAGATTTGTTTTCCAAATAATAATAAAAAAATTCTGACATTGTTCTTGCTTAATCACTATGCAAGTGACTTTTGGGAAATGGAATCTGTGAGTAATCTCACTGCACTGTTAGAGTACAAAATTATCAGCAAATTGGCAAAGGGAAATATATTATAAGAAGGAATCCATTCTAATTCTTTGTATGTTTTTTTAAAGCTGTTTTAAATTTGTGATTCACAATCTTATAACATCACATATGTTATAAAAGAAAGTTGGCATTTGACAGGAGCAAAGCAAATTTGGTTAGAAATTTTGGTGGCTTGAAACACTTACGTATCAGTGTTCATAACTGGCTTTCTCAGAAATATCAGTGCTGCTCATCTAGCAGTGTGAATTTAAAACACACAGGATTCTAGATTTGGTCCTCGATAATAAACAAACCAACTTCATCTGTAAGAACAGATTTTGAAATTAGATTTGAATTTTATTATAATTTAACCAAGTCACTAATTTGAACCAAGATGTTTTGTATCTCTTCAAAATTTGAGGAACTGAAATCACAAAACAATTAACAAGGCATACAGGAGAGCAAAAAGCCAACAGCAAGTTAGTTTCACATTAAAAAAAAAAAGAAAAAGGACATTAGTGTAGGAACCAATGGACTTTAAAGAAAACGAATCATGCCTAAGTAATACAAGTAGAATCTGTATTAAGACAGGATATCTAACTTCAGAAAGTGAAACAAAAACACAAGCGGAGAAGGAATGCAAATTTTCGTGGGTATTAGAATTAAATGTTGTCTAAGTCTTTTCTAGTCCCGTGTAGGTAATTTTAAGTCAAAGAATGGTGTTAAACAGTTTTTTAAAAATTTTTTTGAGGGGCTGGAGTGATAGTGCAGTGGGTAGGGCATTTGCCTTGCATGCCACCGACCTGGGTTTGATTCCAGAATCCCATTTGGTCCCCTGAGCATCACCAGGGGTAATTCCTGAGTGCCTGAGCCAGGAGGAAGCCCTGTGCCTCGCCAGGTGTGACCAAAAAAGAAAAAAAATTATTGAGATATAATTTACCTACCCATAAAACCCACATATCGTTAGTATATGGTTCAATGATTTATTATAAATTCATAGTTTGTGAAACACCACTTCAGGCTAATCGATTTTTTCCCTGTTTTTTAATGTTAGGAATCATTTTATTTTCCTAGTATAAAGGTTCTCAGGATGACTCATTAAATCATAGCACAAATTTTAAGGATGTAAAAATGACTCACTAAAAATGTGTGCAATAGACATGTGCAGGCAGCTGCTCTGCAGGGAAACAAAAGAGGGAGAAGAGGGAGGGCGGCCAGAGGCGGTCCTGGACAAGGGTTACCAACCACGTCTGAGAGTTGATGCTGCTGTTTGAATTGCGGCTTCCCTACTTGCTTAATCAGATGATGTCAAAAAACTTACTTAAACTCTCTGAGCCACAAGTTTCTCTTTTGTTAAGATAACATTACCTGCTTCATGGAATTCTGAAGAACAAATGAGATCATCTATGTGAGGAGCTCAGCGGTCCTGACACATAGCCACTACTCACAATCTGTTAGGTAATTTTACCATCACCACTGGATTACTATTTCATGATCCAGACTCAAAAGACCACATGTTCTATGATTCAATTTATAACAAATTCTAGGAGAGGCAAAACGCTGGTAATAAAAAAGGAGATCATTATTTGCTAGAGGACGGGGCAAGAAATTGACAGCAAAGACCGAGGGAACCTCTTGGGGTGTTCTGTATCATTGAGTAGGAGACTATTTTGCAAATATTTGCATTGAATTATGTACACAGTTTACACTGCTGAATGTTATATGAAAAATTATTCTCAAGGGAGGGGCTCTGAAAAGGCTTCAAAATTTCCAATTGGATAATTATTTTACATGCTACAAGCCGGAAGCAATTTTTAAACTCAGACAACAAATATTTGCTAAGCACTTGCTAAATTCAAGGCACCGTTCCTGACTGGCAATACAGTCTTGAAGAAGACAGACTACATCCCTTCTCTCACGGAGTTTACAGTTCAAGCACAAACCATATTTCTATGTTTGGGATTACAAAAAGATTAGTGCAGATGTGCCATCGCAGAGCGCAAACCGCGACCTGATAATGAAAGGGGGCGTGGGGTGGGAGAGAAGGGCATTGAACTGTCCAAATGTCCTATAACGTTCCGCTTTTCACACACACCGAAAGCAAACTGTGAGTCCGTAGGTCTGCTTATTATATCCATTCAAAGCAAACTCTGTCTGTATATCTGTATGTCTGAAGGCGATGCTCCTGACCCGCTGTCCCGGCAGGTGGTGTGACTGCCTAGTGAGTGACTGAGATTCAAGGTTGCCCTCTGGTCACCCGGTCTGCGAGACCGATGCCCACCCGGCTCGGTAAGTGCACCGGTCCAGGTACCAGGTGGACGCTTCCAAAGGTCTCAGAAGTAATGCGGCTTTGACCTTGAGCCCTTCAAACCGCGTCCTTTTGGTCCCCAGCACTGAGGACGCTCTGACACCTTCCCAAAGGGTCGCACCGAAGAGTCCCCGCCCACCGCATGGCCACGCCCATAGGGGGTGGAGTCCGAGGCAGACGCCGGCTGGGGGAGGAGACGTGACGCGGAATCTGATTGGCTGCTTCCCTCGGGGCCGCGTGGGAGGGCGGGACGATGCTCCTGGGGGCGGAGCTTGCGTCGAGGCGGGCCCCGGGAAATAGATGCTCCGCGCGGGTGCAGACACTGGGGGTGGGGACCGCGCCGGCGTCGCTGCGCGCAGGCCCCGCCCGGAACCCTGCGAGCGCGCTGGGCTGCCTCCTTCCTCCCTGGCTGGCGCTGGGCAGAGTCAGGAGCCGAGAAACCGAGTCGGCACTGGGCTGTCTGCGTGGTTTGGGGGCAGCAGTCGCCAGAGGAGGAACATGGCGCTCGTGGGCAACGGGACAGAGCAGGAGGCGGACGAGGTACTGGGGCGATGGGGAGTTAGGGGCATTGCCCCGGGAACCCAGGGAGGTGTGTGCGTGCGTGTGCGTGTGTGTGTGTGTGGTGGGGCGGGGGGGGATCGCCAGGGTCCCGCCCCCCTAGGTAGTCAGTCTGGGGACTGCAGCGTCCTGCCCCGGGACGCGACTGGGACTGCGGGTGCGGGCACCCGTTCTTGGAAGGTGTCTGTGGCGCAGGGAGCAAGGGCGCCGCAGAGTTTCGGGTCGCCGGCACAGTGTGTGTGTGCGTGCGTGTGGGGGGGCCATGGTGCCGGACAACCCCGCATCTTACCCGCGGGTGGGCGGCGGGGCAGCCCCGGGCTGCCGAGAAGAAAGTCTTCAGGACGGCGGGAGCTAATTAATACTGACCCCGAGATCCCCGCACTGAGCCCCGGGGACTTTGGATAGTCGTCTCGATCGATCGATCTGGACTCTCGGCTCCTTTGAAAGTTTCCGGGTGGTAGATCCGAAGGGCTTAGAGTTGGAGGAGGAGGAGGAGGAGGAGAAGGAGGAGGAGAAGGATCAGGATCGCGATCGCGCAAGGAAGGCGCCCCAGGGGTGTGTCTGCCCGAGCGGGCTGCCCAGGGGCCGCAGGGCCAGAGGACGGTCGCTGCAGCCCAGGGTCCGGTGCTTTGCCCTCCGTCCACGGGCCGGAGCCTTTTCCTGGCAGTCCCCAGGGTCCGTGGTAGACGGAGGCGGGGGAGGCGTTTCTGACCCCACCGAGCCTCCTGTCGTCACGACTGTATTTAAGTAATTAGCCACTTCCTCCCAGTGACTGGCGCGCCCGCGTCTCAGCACCCTCGGGCGGACGCACCGGACCTGTTGATTTTTTATTATTGAGTCTCCCCTTTTCAGCACCGGGCGGCCGGGCACAAATGGTCGCTGTCCCTGGAAATCCAGGCCAGCGGCCGCAGCAAGCCGCCGCAGCAGCACCCACAGTTGCTTCTGCTGCCATTTTTTACCGGACTTGAATCGTACAAGTCGCTGCTTGAGGAGTCTTGGTTCCAAACGGTGATGCAACAGGGACAGATCTGAAGGCGGCGGCTTAAGACTCCGCTGTCAGGAAACCCCTGACAACTAACACTGCTGTGTTTAAGTAACACTGTACAGTTTTCCATTTAGCTGGCCTATCTAGAACTTTCCTTGCTGTCGTTCCCTTGTATTGAGAGCCCCTTAAAGTACAGAACAGCGAGCTAGAGCTTGCTCTGCTTCCTCCTATTTTTTGCTAAAACTTTTTTTTTTTTTTGCGTCACACCCGGCGGTGCTCAGGGGTTACTATTGGCTTTGCACTCAGGAATCACTCCTGGCGGTGCGCTGGGGACCATATGGGATGCTAGGAATTGAACCCAGGTCAGCCGCGTGCAAGGCAAACGCCCTACCCGCTGTGCTGTTGCTCCAGCCCTTGCTAAAACTTTTTAACTACGCAAAATGAATGATTGATAAGCTGGCCTATTTGCTACTGTTTAAATCCGTGACACTCTTTATTGCTTCTGGATCGTTTTGGTAAGACCTGGAGCTAGCTCTTTTTCCTTCCTCCTGTCTTGGTTCTTCTCTGTGTTATGGTGCACAGATAGTGACTTTTTATAGTCATTTGCCATCCTTTCATTCCCTTCATCCAAAGTTTTTATGATTTCCCATTGTGTTTTACATCAAATAGGCATATAGCAGGTGTGGTCTCAATCTGATGTCCAACCTTGTCCCAAGTGACTTCCTAATTAAATGATATAATCGATATTATGCCCGTGTTACAAAAAGGGGAACAAGACTGGGAGTAGCTAGTGAATACAGAAATAAAATTTCCAATCCCCAATTTGCTTGTCAGGTCTAGAGCTATATATCATTTTCCAGACCGGGGCATTGTTGAGAGAGAAAAGGGGATGCTATAAATAATTAACTCGTGAACAATAGGTGTAAACTGGGCTGCCCTAGGCATATTGACTTAAGGCCACTCTAGCTCTGCTTGCTGCCAACAAGATGAACCGCAATATTTCTTTGAGGTAGCTAGGGCGGAGTGCTCTACCTCTGTGGGCGAAATCAGGTTTTGAAGCAGCAGAGAGTGTGATGCAATAATCCGGTAAATACATATTTGTTGAGTGAATAAGTGACTGCCAAGAAGAAGTTACTTGTGATTTGTTTTGCCGCATCTTTTATATTTGAATTCAAAACTAAGATTCCTAGTTCATGTTAGGTGTTATACTGATCCTAAGTATAACAAAGCAGATTTCTTTCTTTCTTTCTTTTTTTTTTTTAATTCATGCCCAAATTAGCTTTTGTCCCTCTTGGTACACCATTTCCATTGGTATTAATTTAGCAAATATTAATTGAACACGTGTCCTGTGTTTCAATTTTATGGATGCCTTAGAAAAAGAAGACACGATTTTTTTTTTTTTTTGCTTTTTGGGTCACACCCGGCAATGCACAGGGGTTACTCCTGGCTCATGCACTCAGGAATTACTCCTGGTGGTGCTCCGGGGAACCATATGGGGTGCTGGGAATCGAACCCGGGTCCGCCGCATGCAAGGCAAACGCCCTACCTGCTGTGCTATCGCTCCAGCAACGAGAAGATATGATTTTTAATTCTTAGGCTGCTCAGTTTGTGTAGGGAGATATGACATGTACAAAAATTCAGGGCAGGTTAAACAAGTCAGAAGTAGTGCATTGTATACTTGACTTGTTTGTAGAACGTTCCTTACTTTTAATGGACTGAAGTTCTTTACCCACTTCTCAAGACCCTGCACTGCAGTTACTGAATATGTGACTTTATTTATTTATTTATTTTTAATGTAGGAGTACTGCGTTTATTCAGCCACTGATTAGCTGATTGAATTGGGCATGAACTCCACCTTACTTTTTTTTTTCATAGTTTTATTTATTTATTTTTGTCTTATATTTATTTATTGAATCACTGTGGGAAAAGTTACTAAGCTTTTAGGTTTAAGTCTCGGTCATACAATGATCAAACACCTTTCTCTTCACCAGTATTCATTTTTCACCACCAAGAACTCCAGCATACCCCCCTCCCACTCTTCCCAATGCCTGTGAGGCAGACGATTTCTACTTAACTCTTTTCTACATTGATTACATTCATCATTTCGAGAAAAGATACGCCATTATTGTTTAGAATTCCTCCCCCAACAATCAGAATTGCTAAAAAGGCATTGTGAAATACTTTGTTTTCTATAGCTGGTTATGTGAATCATATAATGTTGCGCAGTCGCTATTGCAGCCATGCAATTTTGGATTTCTGCAAAGAGCCAGATAATTATGAGATTGGTTTCTGTGCGTCTGGTGTTATGGCTGTGCCGGAGAACAGCTTGTTGGGGGGTAACTCAGGACCTCAGTAAGGCATGAAGGATGAGCCGGTACCGCCCCCCTTCCCATGAGACTGCAGTTGTCCCGTCACCGTCACTGCCAGTTCATACTTGGCTTTCTAATAAGCTCTGAAGAGGCGGCCACCTTGTTGCCGGGGGTAGGGGGGGTTGGGAAGAAGGCAGAAGGGAGCAACACCCTTTCCCTCCCAGGGAGGCATGGCGCCATAGTTTAATGCATGGTCCATTCACTTTTCTGCCGTGAGCTGCCAGGCTCTGGATTAAGTCCTTTTGCCTCTGGAGCCATGGCCGTGTTTGCGGTCCAGATGTATTTCTGCCAAAAGCCGCTGGGTTTCAAGATTTGTTTCTGAGTCTCTGGGATCATGGCCGTTAAGCAGCTTGATCAGGAACCAGAGAGGCCATTTGTAGGCGGTGACTTGGGGTTTCACTGGGATGGGGAGGAAAGGGCTGATTCCACCCCATTTGGTGAGACCCCGCGTGTCTCGTCACTGCAGGCCCAAACCTGACTGTACAGTGGCCTCTGAAGGATAGTGGTCACCGGGCCGCCAAGGTGAACAGGCCAAGGCACGAAACCTATTCCCACCTGGAGTGGCCCAGCCCCAGTAACCTACTACAGGAACAGGATGCATTTCTGCCAAAAGCCTTTGGGTTCTGAGATTCGTTTCTGAGCCTCTGGGATCATGGCTGTGAAGCAGTTCGATCAGGAACCAGAGAGGCCATGCCTCCAATTATATAGCTGAGCCGGAGGTGGTTTGTGGGTGTGTCTCCCACATACCTAACTTTTGGCCGTTTACTTTCTTGGTAAACTTTGCCCCAAGTTTTTGTGGTCTGGCCAAAGGCACAGCAGCAATTTTGGGGTATCTGAAGGCCTGAAGTTGCCATCAGGCTGCTGATGCAGCCTCACAGGTACAGATTGACCTGCTGGCGGCACCATACCCCCGAATATGTGACTTTAAAATACAGATTTCAACTAGGAAGATTTTAAATCACAATGGAAGTTTTGATAGTCTTTCTGGCTATTATTTGATATTTGTGGGAAGCCAAAAGGGACCAAAAGATGGAGTTGGAAAAACTGTAGACTAGGAATTAGGTGAACTACCCTCTGCCCTGTCACTGATTTGCTCAATAGATGTTTACTTATTATGTAAGTTCTCTGACTAGCCTATGTCATAATAGCCTAGAAAGAGAACAATATCTCGACAGAGAAGCTTCCTGTCTGTAACTGAGATCTTGATTGATCAAGCCTTGTTAGGGCTCTTTTAGTTTCTTCATCTGTTGAAAAATGGAATGGATGAGTTCTGCATGTTCTTCCAGTTCCGAGAATCTGTGTTGTGATGGTGATGAGAAGGGCCAGTAACATGGGAACTCCCAAGTCTCCCCAAATTTCTTTTTGTGAGAAGGGCCAGTAACATGGGAATTCCCGAGTCTCCCCAAATTTCCCAGGATAGAGGATACCTGCTAACTCTGGGATACAGTGTTTTCGTGGGTAAACTGGTGTTTTTTTTTGTTTTGTTTTAGGTACCAGCCTGATAAATAAAGGAGCATCTTGCATCCTGTTTATTTATTTATTTTCTTTCTGATTTTTGGGCCGCACCTGCTGGTGATCAGGGTTTCCTGTCTCTGAACTCAGGCACCACCCCTGGTGCAGGGCGAGGG